TCCTGCTGTTCGTGGCCTTCTTCGTCCTCAACATGTTTGTGGGGGTGGTGGTGGAGAATTTCCACAAGTGTCGGCAGCACCAGGAGGAGGAAGAAGCCAAGAGGCGGGAGGAGAAGAGGCTTCGCCGGCTGGAGAAAAAGAGAAGGAGTAAGGAGAAACAGATGGCTGGTCGGTAGTCTTTCCACATCTTTCTGAGTCCTGCTTGACCTTCCACATGATCCCCTCCTCCCTCCCCTCCCTGCCTCGCGTCTACTGATCATTCTTCTCCCAAAAGCATGTCCGGCTATAAAATTTGCATGAAGGAAATAGTGTCGTTTTAGGCTGAGCAAGGAGCCATGGAAGCCTTTTTAATGGCTGCATGATTTGCAATGACCCTTCCATTGGAGGTTATTTAAATTAAAAAATAATAATAATAATCAGGCCTGGAGCTTCTTGGATAGCAGAGCTCAGTGTTACACAAATAGTGACAACTGCAAAGATCAGCAGTGCCGGATGGCCCCATAAATCTTCTGAGTCATGAGCACTGTTGCTGATAACTGGATTCACTATTTGGTTTATTACAGCCTTGTAATGCCACAGTGATGTTACCTGTCCCATTTATCAAGCGGGTTTATTTATTTGCACAGTAGCACCACTGCTATTCAAGAGTGTAATAAAATAATGGAGCCATCTCATTCTAGTAATGCTTAAAAACTCCTTAGAGAAACATATCAATGCATTTGCTTGAGAAATACAGATTAGAAAAAAAAAAGCTGTTGAGGAGAGTAACTAACTAGACAAAATAGCACTGATGCAATTTGAGCCAAGCTCCAAACTGGATGTGCAAGCTTGCAGCCTTGCCTAGAGAAGGCTTTACAGACGAAAGGAGGCTAGACCTCCACTGTGCCAAAAGTCTCCGACCTGACATTTGTCTTTTAGTCTGTTTTTCTTCTAGTTTGGTTGAATAAGTGAGAAATAAGTCAGCCAGAGGCTACAGGTTGGAGGTACTCTTCTTCTCGCATGCTCTCTTTTCTGACTGAATTTTCTCCGTTGCCCTTTGTGTCCATGGCCTCACGTTTTCCCTCCCTGGTCAGTCTGCCTGCTGCTCTCTCCATGTCCCCTTTCACATCTCTTCACTATCTTTGACAGACTTCAGTACTGTTTAAGGGGCTGTCTGATCAGGCACTTGTTCCTAAAGCTGGTAGTATTAAGTCTGTTTTATTTTTTTAATAGTCTAGGAGGTGTTTAATAGGCTTAGTCGTACAATCACGTACCACGACGGTGTCCCAGCCTCTCTTAATTCAGCACTTTCCCAGCACTTTCCTTTGGTCACGTCTTTTAAGTCCCATGAGCTTCAAAGACTTTGTAACCAATAGGATGTATCACACCAGCCTCTGGACATCAAACGTTGGTTTATGCTGAGAGCCTGGCTTCCTCCATGGTCAGTGGAAAGATGGAAGCTTTCCTCAAGAGCGATGGAGGACATGTTAGACTGTTCTCAGTTAAGTGGGATACAGATGGAAAGAATTTTTTTTGTTTTTCACGTCAAGTAAATGCCTAGAAAGCTCTTTTGGCCAGTCCAAATTCCCAAACACAGTTTCAGGCTGATGAGCTAGAAAATGCTTTTAAAGGCTGGGTAGAAAGATCACTATTTAAAGTTTCAGTTTTGGAAAGCAGACATTTCTGTAGAAGAAAAATAGATGTTTAGCTATTATTAATGACCTTATTTATAATGCTAGAGGAACTAGATGAAGAAAAGACATAAGTCTGGGCAATTTCCCAGTGGGAAGGAATCACAAACCATCCTTGGAGATGTAGTTATTCATTCAGTCCTATGAAATGCCTAATTAAAGAGGCAATAAACAGCTGCTTTACTGAGGATCAAATATTGCTGAGTATTCATTCACCATAAAAACCTTTCAAGAGCAAAGTATGAAGCCCTCCCAGTCAGAACAGTTCTCCCAATGCACGTTGAGTGAAACGTTGGTTTTAATTGACTGTGTCCAACTTTGCCCTCAGAGGCAACAGACGTCATCGCTTAGCTTCATTCTGCATGGTGGGAACTGGCAGATGATACCAAGACTAGGGCTTTGATTATGCCAGCAGCTGCCTGGGGACTCCTTTCAGCTGGGCTTCCCGAGTGTCCCCAGTTGCCCAAACCAACCTATGGATGTCAGACGTAGACATGGAACTAGTTGCACGATCGGTTTTGATCGTAGGCTCTTCAAACGCAGTTATGCAATCAGACATCTGAAAACCAGAAGAGCATGTGGGATCCCAGCTCGGTGAGACGTAGGCAGATGCCAGAGCCATCCCTGTCGGGCGTGCTGGCCCAGCGGGGTACGTGCCCTGCCTCAGGTATGAAGCCCGTCTGCGGGCTTCCGCTTGCGTACGCGGGAGAAGCACGAGAGCCCTTCCTTTTCCACAATGACCCCGTGTACCCGAGCCCACCCTCCAAAGGCGCGAGGAGACGGTCCCGCAAGGAGACATTCCCAGCAGAGGCGATGGAGAGCCCGAGAGCCACAGGGACCTCTGACGGGGAAGGGAAGTCTTGCCGTGTGTCCTGCCGGGTGATTAATGCCGTTTCGTTCTTTTAGATCTAATGCTGGATGATGTATTAATGGAGAGCTCAGCCAGTGCAGTGCAAGGTACTGGGAAGTCGGCACGTCTCGTCCCACTTGAATGGCAGTGCTGTGTCACTAACGGCTGGCCGCCGCTGCTGTGAGGCATCCCACTAAACCGTGTGTGTGGTGCAAAGCTCGTTTGCTTACTTCATGGCACACGCATATCATTCTGAACTGCAGGTCTGCAGACCTGGCTCAGGACTGACACTTGCAAACCCTTAATTTGTCCCTTGATCATGTTATGTTTTTCAGTATTTTTTTCTGGTTTTCATTAAGACACTGTCAGACTCTTCATGGATTTTTTTTAAACCCCCCCTTTATTTTTTTTGGTTTTGTTTTTCTTAGAGAATAATGACTGGACTGTGAAATGGGTCCTTTATGGTTTACTCCAGCTTTCCAACCACCAACTTAGGAGCCTCTGAACAATTTGCAGGAGTATCTCTGGAAGGCAGTCTCGCTTAGGGAGGTTATTTCAATATTTCTCCAGCCCTTGCTCATTGCTCCACAAACTCTGTGCTTCAGGGAGGCACGGTATTTTTTCAG